TTATCTCCCCTTCTTTCCTATCAAACATCTATCGTCCTTATCTCCCCTTCTTTCCTATCAAACATCTATTGTCCTTATCTCCCCTTCTTTCCTATCAAACATCTATCGTCCTTATCTCCCCTTCTTTCCTATCAAACATCTATCGTCCTTATCTCCCCCTTCTTTCCTATCAAACATCTATCGTCCTTATCTCCCCCTTTTTTCCTATCAAACATCTATCGTCCTTATCTCCCCCTTCTTTCCTATCAAACATCTATCGTCCTTATCTCCCCCTTCTTCTTTTTTATGTTCGTTACTCTCTTGTAACACCTCTAATCTTCTGGCGCTTATATGACCTTATGCTGTTGCGAGTGCCGTAAAACCTCTACTAAAACTGTTCTTGTCCTTGTCTGGACTCGAACTCAGACCTTTCATTTTGCCCAAGGAGGTCGGTCAGGTCAGGTGTGGTTTGCTCCTTCTTTCTCATCAAACAGCTATCATCCTTATCTCTCCTCCTTCTTTTTCGTGTATATTATTCTCTTGTAACACACCTATTCTTCGGCACTTATATGACCTTATTGCGTTGCAAGTGCTGTAAAACTCTTACTAAAACTAAAACCCTTCATTTTGCATAAGGAGGTCTGTGAGGTCAGGGTTACACATTGTGAAAAAGACTGAGTTAATAAGTGGATTGCTTGATGACGTCAGCGGTATGAAGGGCTTTGTGAGAGATTCGTTCGTCCCGTTATTCACATTTTTGGACTTCTATATTTTTACCTTTAGATTTGGGACCAAGAATCTTTCCCTCTTTAAGATAATAACTTTGTCTTTTAGCTCTTGAGCAAATTTTTTTTTGTCTTTACATCTTTAAGATATTCATTTGTTTGCCTTTTATATTGCAAACAATATCTTTAGTTGCCACCGTTTGGATTAAGCCCATTTTTGTCTCCGTAAAGCCCTTTAATGTGCCTTTTCTCGTTAATTTTCTTGCACTTTGTTTCTTCACTAAGCTTAGAAGCTTTTGTTCTGTTCTTTATTAATTTTTAAAAATTCTACTTTATTGGGGGGGGGGGGAGCTTTTTCTTTAGAAATTGAGTTAGAGAGAAAGGTAGAAATTATTGACGTGTGAAGATTAAGACTGGGCAATAAGTCGCTTTAGCTAAATTCGTATAATAATATGTTAGTTTACCTCTTCGGCAATTAAATGCGTTATGAACCGCTTCGGCAAATGGGTTAGAACCACTTCGACAAATCGATTAGAAACACTCCAACAAATGGGTGCACCCACTTCGGCAAACGGGTTAGGATAGAGAGTTTAAAGGTCTGAATTCGGATAATGTTTCATTAAGAATTATCCGGATTTTGCCCACCACTACTGAAGATAGCTCTTGGTGTTGAGGGAATGTCCACATTTTACATACAGCTTTATGTCTGCCATGTGTTTTCCTTGTCGCCACTCAGGGTTCTCACAATGTGGTCCTCACTCGGTGCTTTACCATTGTGCTTTCACTCTGGACAATTCTCTGTGCTTTCATTTTGGAGAATTCTCTGTGCTTTCCTTTTGGAGAATTCTCTGTGCTTTCATTACTCTCTAGAGAATTCTATATGCTTTCAATCAGTGCTTTCCTTCCTGATTTCACTCTGTGCTTTCAACCTCTGTACTTTAACCCTGGAGAATTCTCTGCGCTTTCAATCAGTGCTTTCCCTCTGTGCTTTCACTCTGTGCTTTCAACCTCTGTGCTTTAACCCTGGAGAATTCTCTGTGCTTTCATTTCACTCTGGAGAACTATCTGTGCTTTCTGTCGGTGCTTTCCCTCTGTGATTTAACTCTAGAGAATTCTCTGCGCTTTCAATCGGTGCTTTCCTTTTGTGATTTCACTCTGTGCTTTCAACCTCTGTGATTTCACTCAGTGCTTTCAACCTCTGTGATTTCACTCTTTCAACCTCTGTGATTTCACTCAGTGCTTTCAACCTGTGTGATTTCAACCTGTGTGATTTCACTCTGTGCTTTCAAACTCTGTGATTTCACTCTGTGCTTTCAAACTCTGTGATTTCACTCTGCGCTTTCAACCTCTGAAGAATTCTGTGTGCCTCAATCAACCCTGCTTTGGCTTTAACCAGAACTATCATTTTGTGTCTTGAAGAAACGTCGTGTTCATGGGATGTTTGCAGGTTCTGTGGTGTAGGTTGCTCTCTTTTTTCTTATCAAACATCCATTTCCCTGTCTCTCCTCCTTCTTGTTTGTGTATGTTACTCTCTTGTATAACCTCTAAATTATTGTGTTGCAAGTGTTGTAAAACTCTTACTAAAACAAAAATAAACGCCTTGCCCTTGTGGAAGAGCCTTTGCTCTATGATGTATGTCCATGTATTTTGTCTGTATGTTTCCTATGTCTTCTCTACACCATGTATGTCCATGCATTTTGTCCATTTCTCTACACCATATTAATTGTCCATACATTTTGTCCATTTGTTTCCTATGTCTTTTCTCTACACCACGTGTGTGGATGCATTTTGTCTGTATGTTTCCTATGTCTTCTCTACCACATGTATGTCCATACACTATGTTCATATGTTTCCTATGTCTTCTCTACCACATGTATGTCCATACACTATGTTCATATGTTTCCTGTGTCTTTTCTGTACACCATGTATGTCCATGCATTTTGTCCGTATGTTTCTTATGTCCGTTTCTCAACACAATGTATGTCCATGCATGTTGTCCGTATGTTTCCTATGTCTGTTTCCTGTGTCCGTTTCGCTATGTACGATGTATGTCCATGCATTTTGTCCATTTGTTTCCTATGTCTTTTCTCTACACCTTGTATGTCCATGCATTTTGTCCATTTCTCTACACCATATTAATTGTCCATACATTTTGTCGGTATGTTTCCTATGTCTGTTTCCTATGTCCGTTTCTCTACACCATGTATGTCCATGCATTTTGTCCGTATGTTTCTTTCTCTTCGGCTTCGTGCCTTTTCTACACCGTGTATGTTCATGCTTTTTTTCTGTATGTTTCCTATGTCTTTTCTCTACACCACGTATGTCCATGCATTTTGTGCAGATGTTTCTTTCTCTCCGTGCCTTTTCTTCACCATGAATGTACGTGCATTTTGTCTGTATGTTTCCTATGTCTTCTGTACACCACGTATGTCCTTTCATTTTGTCCATTTCTCTACACCACGTATGTCCTTTCATTTTGTCCATTTCTCTACACCATGTATGTCCATGCATTTTGTCCGTATGTTTCCTATGCTTGCAGACTCCTCCGCACGTGCCAGCCCTAAATCTCACACCTCCATCTGTAAGTGGGCCCGCCGTGGTCGCTGTCTTGTTCTCCCCCCTCCCCTCCCCTCCCCTCCCCCCCTTCCCTCTATAGATCTGCCTGGTTGTCTCATCTAACCGTCATCTAGCCGTCATCTAACCGTCATCTAACCGTCATCTTACAGCCATCTAATCAAATGGTCATTTAATAGTCATCTAAGAGTCATTTAACAGTCATCTAAAGATCACCTTTCTCTCTCTCTCTCAATCTCTCTCTCTCTCTCTCTCTCTCTCTCTCTCTCTCTCTCGTTTTCTGTCTCTCTCATTCTCTCTGTCTCACTCTCTCTCTCTCTCTCTCTCTCTCTCTCTCTCTCTCGCTCTCTCTCTCTTTCTCTGTCTC